CCGTTCTGCAATGTCCTTCAAAATACTCTCAACTTCTCCTTCTCTTGATGCAAACTCAACCAATGAAGCTGCAGTCTGAGACCGAGCCCACTCTTCCAATTTTTGGGCATCAATTCTTGACAGTACAAAAAAAAAATATTTTTTTTTTTAAATAAAGAAAGACATTCTTGAAATTATTGGAAGAATGATCGAAGGTTGGAATTAATATACAGGGAAGAACTTAGACTCTTGGAGTAATTGAACAGAGAATAAACATTCGTAAAATTTGATTACCAGCTACAAATAAAAGTCATTAATACTACTTTTTGAACATCCACTAACATTTGATACCAGGTAAATAGACGGATCAATCTAGTCGTTTAGAAAGCCAAGTCCAAATCAGAATCGCCGTCATTTTGCTATAAGGGGAATCGGGTTATGATTTTTTAACTCAACAGTGTCTACGTATAAGTAAGGCTAATGAAATTTCTAACCGACAAGAGGATAGAGATCGGGGATGGTAAAAGAAAAGGGGATACATGGCCAAACCTATATTGCTCTGGATCCTCATTCAATGCGTTAATGTATGCTTGGAAGATGGCATCACGATCCTCATCGCTAGGGTACCCTTCCATAAGTCGATCATACACAGTAACAAAACCAAGGGCGAAAACAGGGTCATAACGGTAAGTCTTCTTATACCTCATCAAATGCTGCTGGACAATCAATTCTTGCACAACGGTGTTGTAAATGCTAGGGATAGGCCGTTTATACGCCTTGAGGAAGTTCGCTTTAGTCTCGGCTACAGTTGTCACATCTGAGCCGTCAAAATAACGCATCAGTTACTAGATTCAAGTAGCAAGAAAGCAAACTAGAGAAATCTCAACACACTACGGATAGTTTAGAAATGATCCAACAGAACTACTGAAAGCCTAATTCTTACTTAAAACTTCTAATTCCCTCCAATATGTTCAATCTCCAAAATCGAGGAAAAAATAAATCAAACTCAATCGGAATCAGCGAAACGAGCCTCTTTTCTTCTGCTACCATTTTCTGACAATTTAACAATGTAGTAAGCGAGCAAGGAAAACAAATCACCAGAAGCTACCTGTTCCGGATGCCATGCAATGAATAACCATGCGAGAACTGAAGCTGGATGTCCGAACTCCGGAATAATGACAGAAAACGCTCTTACGAAAACGAAACCCGTCGAAATGCGAGGCGAGTGAACGAGCCGAGGGAATCGGCAATCGTCTATCAGAACATTGACTTAATCCCGAGAATGATACGGAATTTACAGCCGCCATTGAAGAAGAATGAGAAAAAACTTGCGAAGATTACGAACTCCCGGAGGAAATGGATTTCATATCGAAGAAGAAGAGTGGGAGAAAAGTCGTATAGAATACACAAAATGCCAAGAAATTTTCTCGGGAAAAAGAAGGAACAGAGAGTGTGACTGAGAGGTCATAATAGAGAGGCTTATCCAAGTGTAAGTTTCTACACCTTCACAAAGAAGCCAGTAGAGTATCGACACGTGCCAGATTTTCCATTTGTATGGACAGATCTTTTGACCCCTCTTCTCCGACTTGAAGACAAGCTCTTTTATAGTGATTTTGGAGTTTTGTGGAAAATTGGACCCGAATTGGGCTTCGTTTTCTGTGGGCTCGCTTAAGATTGAGCCCAAACATTGTCCCTAAATGGGCTTCACAAACGATCAAATAAGCCCAAAATAATATTATTTTTTTAAACCTCTACGTTTAATTAATATACTTAAAAATAACCCTCATCATTAATTTGAGAGAAATTAGATAATAACCATCATTCAAATATTAATATGTTAACTAAGCATATGAATTTTAATAGAAATAAATAAAGGCAGAGTTGGAGGGAAGTGGAAAGAAGAAGGGAGACAAGATCTGGAAGTACCAAATTTGCTATATAAATTGGGTTTGATCTTATCCAATTCATTCAAACGTGTCCTTCCTATCCTTCAGTCCACATGCCTATATGCTTTCTTCCCAAATATTATTTCATCCTAAACCCGCTTTATTCTTTTATTTTGCTTCAAAATAATACAACAAAAAAGTTAATTTTCCATATTTATAATTTCAACTAGCTTAAATTCCGCGCAACGGCTACTTTTTGTGAGATCCCACGTTGTTGGGAGAGGGAAACGAAACATTCCTTATAAGGGTGTGGAAGCTTCTCTCTAGTAAACACGTTTTAAAACTGTAAAGCTGATGACAATACAGCGGACAATACTTGTTAGCGGTGGGCTGACTTCAAAAGTATATATTGAAGGTTTCTTTCAGGAGGGTATCTTTATATCTCATTGATGAAATGAAAGTTTGAAAGTTAGGAAGCTTGATAGGACACAAAGTTCTTAATAGGGGTCATCAGTCAAATATCTCTTTTCTTTCTTCAAGGTAAAGTCAATATGGAGGAACAGATTGATCGGGTATCTCTTTTAACAAATTTCCTAATTGCAACAACTTATCGAAACTTGAGCTTAAAGAGGGCAGAAGTTTAAGGAAAATAGACCATAGAAAATCAGTTTTAAACTCGAGAACAAAGGGAATAGATTGAATACTGAAACCATCTTTCACTATCCACTGAAATTATCGAGGATGTGACTGTAGTAAAAAATAGTCGTCGTTGAATTATGCATGTTTAGTTTATGGCTAAGTTTTCTCTATTATCGAAAAAGAGTAGTGAATAAAAATAACGTAAGAATCCAATTGGTCTGCCTGTTCTTTGGCCTCGTGCTAAGCCTTTTTCTTCATCGGGACATGGGAAAGATGTCTTCCTATTGTAGACATTAGGGTTGGTCTTAAGCTCTATACTTAAAAAAATATTTTAATGCCTTTGGTTTAATACAAGTGGAAGCTTAAGATCCATCACCTTTTCCATTGTTTTTTTATGGCAATTTTATTTCTTATATAGCTCAAATTCACCACCTTTTTTCATTAGTCTTAAAATTTATAATTTATTAAAAATTATTAACTAAAAATGATCTACTCGTAATGTCATTATATTTATTTGTTTCATAATCTATATATATATATATATTTTTTTTTTTTTTTTTTTTTTTTTTTTTTTTTTTTTTTTTTTTTTTTTTTTTTTTTTTTTTTTTTTTTTTTTTTTTTTTTTTTTTTTTTTTTTTTTT